CTGTGGAGTTGTTCCTGCCTTGCTTGCTTACAGGGCGATTATGGTGTTGTCCTGTGCACTTCCATGAGTGCTGACTGGACATGAGTGTTGAGTGTCTGCAGCTGCTATTCAGTTTGTGTTGAGGTGGCCACAAAAAAGAAAGTGTGCATTCTATCAGGGACATAGCTGTACCCACAGCATCTGCAATTGAAGTGTGCATGTCTGTGTCTTTCTGCTAGATTGTGGAAAAAGAAACCCTGAGGAGGGTATCCACTGTGGGGCTTTGAGTGGGTTTTTTCTTGTCTTTTGTGCATGTGTGGGAAGAGTGACAGAAGGCAGTGTACTGTTTAGGATGGTATAGTTCTAGCCATTTGGTTTTGACAGTTTTCTTGCTGTGACTTTACCTTGTGTTTTCTTGGACTTGGCAGCTAATCTAGGTACTGTTGTGTCCTTGAAGAGGGGCAGTCTGACAACAAAGTGTTCTAGCACCTTACCACTGCCAAACAGGGCAATCCCATTTTATGGCTTCCCTCCCTTGTTCTGTCACTTGCTCTGTCTTTGGACACATGTGGCTCTTACCTGAGTCAATTCACCATCACTGGTGGTGAGAAGCATAGCTGCTTCTTTTGGTGGCAGCAAGCTGTTAGATCAGATTAGCTCAGCTCTCTTGGGTAATTGCATCCTTAGAGGGTCTGGAAAGAGTTTTTAAATCAGCAGTGTCTCCTTGCCTGAATAGCACTGATTCTTTCCAAGACACTGGGTCTACATGAATAGGCTTAAACCACCTATAGAGAAAGATCTCTCTTTTTATTCCCCAAGGCATAGCACTGGTCTTTCTCTTTCTCCTCATCTTTGTTGATTGTATGGCATTCAATTTGGGAATGCAGACAAGGTGCAATTTGAGCATACAAAGAGTAAAGATCCTCTTTAAAAGGCTCCTTTTGAGTGTGCCTGTTGGTTCTATTCTCACTAATGTTCTGGGCCTTGAGATTTTACTACACAAAGGAGCAAATCCAGGATAAGTGCTTCCAGATTCTCAGTCTAGCCATCATTTACTGGAGTGCAAACAACATTACTCAATTGTCACTTGGAACAAGTCTACCTTCCAGTCTCTTCTGACAAATAAAAACTTTTTTCACATTAAAAAAAAACCCCTCTGATGGTTCTTGATGTACTTTTGCAAATAGCCAATGTGTCTTTTTTTTTCTTTTCATTTCTTTCTCTTGGTGTATGTGTTGTTAGATTTAGTGATACAAATAGGTCAAAAGCTTTTCAAATACTCAACAGGTGTTGTAATGCTAAGTGTTTCCTCAGCCCATCTCCAGGAAGGCACAGGACTTCTCACCACATTTGAAAAGTGTTCATCAGTGGCTGCACATTTAACCAGTAATGGTCCAGAGGTTATGCTGAGCCCATATGGGGAGCTCCAGAGGACACTCTGTGGTCTGTCATTAATTATTAAAAATTTTTTTTAAATCCAGTTTTGTAAATTATTGAGATAATTCTGTTTTTCTTAAAAACATGCTTGCTGAGGGAGAATCTTAAACCTTATTTCCAGGTTTCTTAAAGGCCATCAAAATGCATAGGGCAAAACAGAGTTCTACTTAGTGCTGCCCAAAATTTTGATGGGAGTACAGGATGTTTTTGTTGTCCTGTTAAGCAAATAAACTCCATATAATGTGTCTGGCTGTTTTTTCGTATTTGAAACCAATTGTTCCCTGAGTTATTAAAAAAATCAAAACACATCTAAGAGTGCCCCGAATCCCTTTTAAAAGAAAATGTTTTTAACGGAAGCAAAACAGGGGAAATAAGTGGTTAGAATGAGTCTTGATGCTGCATGTATCTAAGAAGCTGAAAGGTTGATTACAAATGATCCCTGAGTTAAATCTGTTGCAAAAACGAGTAAGCCAGACTTGGACATCATTTTACACTTGCTTGCTGGAGATCTTGTTGAATTTGTTCTTGGTTTCCATCCCCCTTTCCAGTTGAACTGTGGTACTTGTGTGTAGGTGGGTCTTCTAAACCACTGCTGTTCTGGAGGAAGGGTGTTATTTAGTTGTTGCATTTTATTTACATGGGCATAAACAATGTTTGTGTTGGTCATGAGTCAGTGGAGTCTGGTATAAGTCCTCTTTGGGTATTAGCATTTTTCAAATACATGTTAGCCTATTTGGACATGATTAGCCATGGATATGGACAAATGGTCTTCACATGAGCCTATTCAATTTGGGAACTAGAAGAACAAAAAAATTGATCTTTATTTCATTGTCCTTCCCCCAGGCAGGTATAATGACAAAATCTGACCAATACTTTCAAATCACTTTGAATTTTAAATCTAAAAGATTATGTCATGTTTTGGGACAAATAAATCATCTTGTTTTCTGTACTGTCTGCTCTTCTTAAACCAGTGTTCTCTTTTTCTGACTCTGTTTTTAATGTTATAAATTTAGCAACAGTCTAGTGTTAACTCTTCTGCTGTTCTGATGCCTGTGATGCCCCTTTTAAAGTAGTGGAGAAAATAGTCTTTCCAAAGCTAATTTGTTAAATAGTGTGTAAATTTTGATGAGATCTTTTACTTCTAAATATTTCAGTAGTATTAATTTCTTCTGCTGCATTGTGCAAAATGCACAGTGTCGAACTGACAAAGTTGTGCTATGCAAGGTGATCTGTGAAATGCATTAGCAGTACTCAGTATCAGTTTAAATATTAGGGTTGTGGGAAGCATATGTAACACCACATAAAAATTTTCAGTTGCTGCATGTCTTGGATTTGCTGATACTGTCAAGATTTTAGGATCTCTGTTTTTCTCGTTACTGTGTGTCAGAATTTCTGGTATGTCTGTGTCTAGAAAGAGGAAAATGGAGTAAAAGTTTACTTTTTCTGGGGAAAAACCTGTAGAGTTTCTCTGTGTTCTGTTTCTGCAATCTACTTTAGTGAATTCAAGACCTCTGTTATAATAAGGATGACCTTAACAGCTACTGCTTAAATTAAAATTTGGTATCTTAGATTGTGACTGTTTAAAATATTTTCTGTGGACGTATGCAGAGTGCAGAATTCTTGATCTTGTCTTTAAATTGTCTCAGCTATGAGGTGTCCTGGGAATTCTAGGGTTGACAGAGGTTTGAATACAACTTGTGGATTCTTCTGCTGCTGTAAAACATTGCTGAGGTTTTGTTAAGATGAAGAGCAGAAGCAATGTTCTTGTGTTTTAGGTATAAAAGCATGTATACCACATATCATGGCATTATTTACACTTCTTGGGACCAAAGCCCCTTAAGTCCTCATGTAAATCGGAGCTAAAGCAACAGACCTTGATCTCTTAAGTTCAGATGTGGTTTTGGTGTTCTTACCTGTCTTGATTTGATGCAGATTTTGCTTGTGGAAGGCATTAAATGTCAAAGTAGCAGTTTGGCTTTTGTTGGGTTTCATCTTGCCCAGCCTGCAAAGGATAATTAGGTGGTGATCTGGGCAGTGGTTGTTCTGCTACAGAAGAGAACTTGCATACAACTTACAGCATTTGCTGTCTGTATTAATATTAGTGATTGTAACCAGTCTACAGTTGATGCCATATGTCCTAATGATATCTTTTGTAGTAATTTTTTGGTATTAAAATAGGATAGCAGTGTAAGGGGGAAGATCCCTTATAGCTAGGCTTCTGTTTCTTTCTCCCTTCACTTCCCCCTACCCTCAGCTGGTTTGATTCACATGCTCCTTTTGGAGAAAAAGTAGTAATCTAACAGGAACATTAAAACCATTCAGAATTCTAATTACAGTTTTCTATTTAGTTTCACAGTTTTGACCATTTTTTCAGTGAACTGTCTGCATTTGAGACTCCCAGATCAGAGTCCTGCTTTCTTGGGTTGCCTGAGAAGATGAGAAGTGTGATGGGAATGTGCAGCAGCGTTTCTGTTCTCAGCATAAAGAAATGGTCACTTCCTGCTGCAAATATCAAGCAATAAAGACTTATTAGAAAAGAAGCTTGGGGAGGCAAATTCCATCACTCCTTCTTCTGGATATCTTGGTGGTAAAGGGCAAGTAGTGTAGTTTGCAAGTGAAATGGGAAGAAGTTTAATTGAGGAATGTGATTGTGGCTGTCTCAGCTCTGTCCTGCTGCTTCGTCTAGCAGAGGCTGGAGCTTTAGGTGCATTTACCATCTCTGCTGTGACTACAGGAGTCTGAAATGCAGGAGATTCGGTCCTTGGTTTAGATACCTTTCTCTCAAGTGTGTTTCATTCTGCATGTAGTAGCTAAGCCTCTGAAGAACATAAACTTGTGCTTTCTTACACGAGATCCAATTCTTTCAGCCTTTGTGCTGTGGATCACAAGGATACACTCTATCCATGTTACCTCCTTCACGGGGCAGGTAAAAGGTGCATCCTCCCCACTCATGATACTCTGTTGAACCTGTGCTTGTGACCTGTCCCTTGTTTGATATAAATTTCCCTGCATTTGTTTTCTGAGTGCAAGTTAAGTGAATTGTTTGCTTCTTGCTTTTGGTATACAAATGTAAGCTGCTTTCATTTTTCTCACTTGCCACTACTACAGTGATGCTAAGGTGTAAACAACTAACTCTTCTGGCATTTTCATATTTACTTTTGTGGCTTCAACCATGTGTGGAGGGCAGTTTGCAGGTGTTAGTTACTGCAGCGTTGCATGGGGTGGTTTGTGTAGAAACATAGCAATACATTTGATTTTAAAAAATAAAAGCACAAGTGGTGATCTTAAAACACTGCAAAGACTTTGCATTTGATGAAGAAAAGCAAGATGCTTTTGTTGACAAAACCAAAATGCTTCCAACTTCGAAAGCAGTTTTGAAGTTGGAAGTATCAGTTGCTAGACAGCAGTAATGATACTCATAAATTGCAAATGGATTGTAAATGATCTCTTTTTAATCTCATGTGTTTCTACTCTACAAAGGTATAATGAAATGGAGAGAACTTATTAAATCATTTGTTTTCAACTTGAAATCTAAAGGAACTGTGTAAACTGTTTCTGTTTTCCAGACTAAAGTGTGTAAGAAGATGAAGAACAGAAAACAATGTATTCAAGATACTGAGGGTCAGAAGCATGAAGGCATGGAAGGTAAAGTATGAAAATGTTGAAGTATATTCGGGTTCAAGTTGTGAAAGTCAGATTTTGCATTTACTCTATCAATTAGTATGCTGCTTGTTTTGGAAGAAGTTGTGTCCACATAACCACTATTTCATAATATTTTTCATTGGCCTGTGGGGTCCCCAAATCATTTCCTGTCTCTTCTCTTTTTTTTACTTATTGACTTCTAGCAAAACAAAAATGGTGGTAACAACTGTTATTCAGAGAAACTAATTAATTTAGAGTTACATTCTTTGATGAAGAGTTTATGCATTTTTTGCATTCTGAAAACCGTTTCTAACTTTAATAAAATCAGGAGTATTTTTTATTTAATGTGCATGATTAGGTAAATATTTGAGGATATTCAGATGAAAATAGTTCTAAGACCGGAAAAGTAAAATAAAGGTAGACCATGTGTGTATAAGTTAATGAATATAGAATCAACTGGTCTAATTTTTTTTCATGGAGAGAGAGTGCAAACACACAAGGAGAAAGAACTCAGAATAATGTCTAAATGACTACATGGCCAATAGCAAGCACTGTGATGCTTACTTGATTGAAATAGCACTGGAGCTAACTTTCCTGTGTTTTAATGGCAAATATTGGTACAGTAGTATATGAAATATATTGTAATTTTTGCCTGAAATATGTTATTTTAACTGCACCTCTGGCCAGCTCCTTGACTGCATTAGACCCAAAAATTTGAGTACCTTGCTTGTTTGTAATCACAGAAAAATGATATCGTCTTGCTGCTTTATTACTCAAATATAGAAGGACCCTGTTTCAGAATTGTAAGTGTCAGTATTGTTAACATCAGGTGAAGAAAATGAAGAAAGCTGTTCCTGTTCTACATCACTGTATGACAGCGACATGTGCCCCATCTGTCTGAACTGCCTACTGGAACAAGAGATTGGTTTTCCTGAGAACTGTGGCCATACCTTCTGCATGACTTGTATTCTTAAATGGGCTGAGGTAAGACTGAGCACCAAGGTGTGTGTTTATTTTTCAGTTAAACCTATTGCATCTAATACCTACAGATTTTTTTAAAGAAAGTTATGGATTCTGACTTTGCACAGAAGTGTTGCAATTAGTAATTTATAAATAGATCTTAGAAAACTTTTTCCTTAGTGCAATAAAGTACTTTGTGTTTTCTCTCACTGGACAATCTGGTTTACTAATGGTTACTAGAGATTAGATACAAATTGGTGTTGTCTGTTTGGAAGATCAGATAGTATTATGTACATGCTGTAATATTGCAGTGTCATTAGCTTAATCATATTTTGTCATTGTGTCAGCTTGTAGGGCTGGGACTAATGTGTTCATGTTAGTCTACAAAATTAGTCTGATAAAACCTCAGTTTTCTAACTATAAGGAGAATTCAGCTAAAAGGTTTAGTCTGTTCTGAATAATAAAATAATAATTTTCATTATGGGTGTTGTTTATTCTGTGTCAGGAACTGTGGGTAGTTCTAGAACCTTAAAGAAAAATGACTTGTTGAACAAATCATTGATGATCTTGTTCTATTTAGTCCCTTTTTCCTCACATATGTCATGCAATCATTGCATTAACTCTGGTGCCTTTACCTTTCCTGTAACCTTTTCTATGGTCAGTATAAAACATCAAATTAATATTGCTTTGTACTGGGATGGGAGGGGATTGCTGCTTTTTGTCCTGCTTCGGTGCATTTGAATTGGTTGCTCATTTTGGTGGAGTCCACAGCTTGGTTTCTTCTGCTGTATCTTTTTTTGGAATTAAATGATGATTTGGGTTGCAGTATATCCTTTAGAAGGTTGGTATCACTTATATGTATGTATATGTGTAATAGACTTATTGATGGGGGTGGTTTTTTATTTGCTGTATTTATAACCTGAATTTTTATTGTTACTGAAGGCAAACAGTAACATAAATGTTTTTCAGAAGAATTTATATGAACTTCAGAGTATTAAAAAAAGAATAAAACTTGCATTAGATTTCCAAACTAGATAATAAACTATGTTTCCTGTTGCCAGATTTTCTGTTGAATGATTCATTACAGTCATTTGTAAGGGAACAGGAAATTCTCATCCACAATTTCACCCTGGCTTCCTTAGCTGGTTGCTCTAATGGCAGCTGGAAGAGACTAAATAGTGATGTGCACAGGGAAGCAGTGGGTGGATGGATGGCTTGCTGCTGGATTTGAGCTGGTTCACATTTCTCTAACATAAAGCTTTTAAGTCCAATGAGGAAGGGAAATTTTCTTGCTTTAAAGAGGCAGATGAACGATATGACAGTTCTCTTGTCACATTGATTTTATATTTTGTGACCCAAAGTTCTATCCAAATAGAATAAAAGCAACTTCTCGTAAGAGTTGGCAGGTAAAGTAGATGTGATGCTGTAAAAATGGTGTGTGGGTGTTTCTGAAGCTATGCAAGGCTAGTGCTGCTTTTCATTAGTGACATCTGATAGGTAAAACCAGCCAGGCTTCCTTTTCTTAGGTTATTTGACAGTCAGACCTGTGGAGTTCATGGAACTCCATTGCCTAATCTAGTAGTTTTAATTAATAAAAGTAAAGGGGCAAAAGAAGTGTTGAAAACTGGCTGACAGATGTTCAGAGGCTTCAGCTGTGAGAAGCAGATGAAATTTTATAGATTGGAATGGTAGAAACATAAGCACATGGCCATTTGAAACATGCTGAAGCCATGTGATTTTTGTTTGCTATTAATATGTATTAACTGAATGTCTTTTGTTCCTTTTTTGAGAGGTATTACATAAGGTTTAGCTTCCTTTGCTGGTTTTTGGTTGATCATAACTAAATATTTGACAAGCAGTCTAATTTAAGTCACTGAATAATGAAGATACAAAAATTATCTGCTGTTTGAAAAATATGCTACCAGATTCTGGTTAAAGATTAAGTATTTTTATTGAGTGTAAATAAATCAGTTTTAGAAATGCTATTTTCCTAAGTGCTGGAGAATAACAAAATTGAGAACAAGATCATTGAATGAGATCTTTATAACGCTCATGTTTGCATTATTTGATGTGCTCTTTTGTGTATCTGCAGTTGTGCTCTATAACAAAGGCTTTGCCAGCAGTCAGTGTTCAAGTTGGATATTTTCTCTATTTTAATGTGTTGCATCTGGACTTCAAAATATAACAGGAGAAACTACTTCTTTAAACCATTGTTTTCAAATGATACATAATTGTTCTTCTGAAAGTTTATGGCTTTTGTATATAACTGTGTAGATTCTAATCAAAACCGGGGTAGTTTAGACAGAAGGTAAGAGTTTGTTTACTGTTCTGCTCCTGCTTCATTCTGCAGATTTTCAACATTGCAACTGCAGTTAAGTGTCCTGTTCCAGCAGGGCTTCTGTCTGCAAGCAGCAGCCAGAACACTTTGAAGATCTCGATTTTTAAGGGGGGAGAGGGAGAGTATATAGATACATGTGCACTTAAAAGCAATATATAAAACTTAATTTTAGTTCATAGAGGGCTAAAGAGGGCTAGGAAATTTACCACAGGACAGGTCTAATATATTAGATCCTGATGGCTAAATCTGAGCATTTAGTTTCAGAATTAAACAGCATTACATTTGAGTCAGTGGTGTATTTTCTTTCCCTTTGAGGAAACATGTCTAACTCGTAAAAGAAAAGTGAGGGGCAGACCAAGAAATCCCCTCTAAGAAGCTAGTCTTCAGGTTAACTTTTATTTAACATGTCCCTGGAACTGTCCTGCTCTCTTTGGCTATGTATACTGTAGTTAATTGTGGTATCTGAGAACATTGCAATGCACTAATTCAGTTGCCTATACTATGAGACTCTCCTGTACTATTAGACTGTCATCGTGTGTGCCTTTGGCCACACTAAGCAGTGCTCTCCCAAGCATTGCTGAGCAGCTCTGGGCAGGCAGGATATAGGAAGGAATCAGGTTATGTGGCAACTGCACTACAGAGCACTGTGGGCAGGATTGAGGTTACATTAGTGAACCAGATATACATTGTGTTCAAAGAAACACAACCTAAAAAAACCCAAAATGGAAAAAACCTCCTTGTTCAAGTGTATCCAACGTGATGTGTACGTAGACAGTGCGTCTGAGAACTGCTCTACAGAAAGACTGGATTAATCAAATTCTTTCAGAAAATGTAGGCTTTAAAAGATACCTTTTTGCAAATTGCATGTTTGCTTTGTGGTATACAGTTGGTCTTGGCATATTTGCCTGCTTCAGCAAGGCAGTTGGACAAGGTGACCTCCAGAGGTCCCTTCCAACATCAACCATTTTGGGATTTGTCAAGTACATTCATGTACCAACTTATGAACGTTAATGCTGTTGAAGTGCAGTGCCAAAGTCTGTGTGTTTCTGAGTTTGACTTCACTTCTTCCAATAGTATCAACATGTCAATACAATGACATGTAACTTGTCAACACTTTTTGGTAGTTTTGAATTGGAATTTAAGAGCTAGTCAACTGTGCCATGTAAGCAGAGAGAAGAGAGCTGTTTAGACTTGTAACTAGGTAGTCTGCTGATTAGGTGTTAAGACAATAATCTCTGTTCTTACGCACTCTCTTTGCTACCCATGAATCATATTTCAAAAAAAACCCTCTCTTGTCAGAAATAGTGCTTTCCTAAAGCATAACTGCAGAACCTTTAAATGTGCTTGCTCTGTAAAAGTAAACTGGAGGAAAAAGTAACCATGAATTTGTACGTGCTTCTAGAAAACAATGCATTTCCTGATGTCTTCCTCCTTCCACCAAAATGTGGGGAGGTGTTTCTCACTGTGTTAGGTGTTATGGTCTTCCTTTTCACTGAAGTTGGAGGTGGAATTCTGAACTTTTTAGTGTACTGTTACAAGGTGGAGCAAAGTTTACAAACATTCCTTTTACAATCTAAACTTCACCTTTAAGCCTGAATGTAGTTAGGAGAATCTGGTATTGTCTGTGTTGTTTAACAGGTTATCTAATAAAGAAGCAGTAAAGAGTGCAGGGTCATGTTTCTTTTTGGATCAGCTTTTCAACACAGTGGTTGAAGAAGAGACTTTATTATGGGCCACTAGAAGGAAAAAAAAAAGGGGGAGAGATTTACTGCAGCAACTTGAATTTTGTACTTTTATCTTGTTACTACTTGTTATGAAACCTTGTAACATGGAACTTGATGAGATGGGGATATCTGCCAAAGTTATTTTATCAGCCAAGTATGTTTTAGGGCTCGTTTGCACCTATTTGTACGGCTTCCTGAACATTCCCAGCCAGAATATAGTAACTGCTTCAGCATTTTGCCTACCTCACATTGTTCTGAGGCTGTTTGAAGTGATGCAGTGATGAAGGGACAGTTACTCCTTAGGTTCAGAGATCACAGTTTCGTGGTGCTGTAACAGTTACAGGAATATTGCAACTTAAGTTATACCTGTGGAGCTAAAACAAGATTTTTCTAGAGAATCATGAAAATCAGAGTACTGTGAAGTTATTTTTCGAAAACTTCAGAACAAACACACACATGCACGTGGATAGCTTTTCAGGCTTGCAGATTTTTGTTTATGAAACAAATTCTCCAGGTATCACAGAATAGGTGAAAGGATGAATCACTGCGTCCTTACCAGTTTTAACATGAGACCTATGAGTAGTTTCTTGTGGAGAGTAAAACAAAAGACTTTTTGAAGTGTGCTGAGCCACTAGTCTGTGTTTTTCCAAGAAAAGATCTGTTGGGAAGGAAAAGCAAAGCAAGTCACAAATGCCAGCTGTGAGGTTCTAATGATTTTGATGATTACATTAAATGCTACATGTTCTGATTTTTAAAGCTATGTTAAAGAAAGATAATATATGAAGCTGTGGTTCTTCCAAGGTTGTGACACATTCCACATCCCTCCTCCTTGTGCACAGTGAAAGTGATAGCTGCTCCTTGGACTTGTTCCATCTTAAGGGCTTTTTTCTAGTTTTAAATAATTTTTCCCAAAAAGGACAGTGTACATTCACTATTACTTAATGATCTACCTGAGCAGAAGCCTCAGAAGAGAGGAATTGGTAATTTGCCTTTGATGAAAGAAGTCTCTATACCTTCGTTACTGAACCGTGTTCTCAAAAAAGATGAGTAAAAGGCCACCACTCCTAATTGCTGCAAATGTAGTCAACTTTTTTACCTTTATTGCTTTCCATAGCAGCACAAATCCTGTCTTGCTGTTGGGAAGAAGAGGGACAGGGGAAGCTTGGGGTTTTTTCTTCCATTTTAAAAGTTTGTTTTTATTTGTTAGGAGGCACATGAGAGCTGATGCATTTTAGACAGAAGTAACTTCCTGTTTTCCTCAGGGTTACCCAACAGTTGTACTGTGCTGGGGAACCTGAGGGGCACATGGGACTGTCCTGAGTTTACTAGAATTTCTCTTGGACAATGTTGCAAACTTAGAGCTAGTGCTAAGGCTATAAAAAGTAACTGAGTAGAAGTGGAAATAGCATCTACTGTTTCTGAGCATATCTGAATCTGACTGTAGCTTTTGACACTTCCAGAAAGTTTTCCTCACTTTCTACTGCTGTGCATAACATTTGTCAGAAGAACAGAACATTTAACACTTTCCTTGTGGAGCAAAACCACTTGTTATTTAGATTGCTGCTAGTAACACCTAGTATTGCATGATACTTCATTGCAATGAAGAAATCTAATTTACTGTAACTTGAACGTGGGAACAGAATTTTATATTCATGTGTAAATTTAATGTAGGAAGAGATTGCATTCTTGGATGAACTTTTCAGTTAAGGTAAATCCTGAAATGAGAATGAAAATGGCTAAGAAAATTAGCTTCCTCCTACCTATGTTTTACAGTCTGGTATATCTAAGA